ACCGATACCTCTGGTCATTGGCGATCACCTCCGGCGCTGCCGACCACCTCCAACAATATTTTATTGAATTGTTTCAACAAAAATAACATCTATCACCACTGCATCACTGTTGCCACCATCTCCACCACTCAATTACTCAGTCATATCTAGACACACTTTCATCAGTGATAATAGATTTTTTTAAAATTACAAATAAATTTGAATCATTCACTCTTAATCATGTTCACTCACTTATTTACAATAATCCACACACACACATACACACACATAATAAACAATAGAGACTGATAAATTTATCATTGAAAAAATAATGAATCCATCATAGATCAATACCAAATCAACAAAATTAATGATACATTTAGTGATAAATTTGTCACTGAACACAACCAGATACTGATAAATTTATTCCTAAATTTTTTTACAGCAAATCCGTTTTTAAAAATAGAGAGAGAGAGAGAGAGAGAGGAAAATGTGGATAATGAAGAGAAGAAGTAAGATATGAAAAAAATAGTGTTGTTTGGAGTCATTTGGAGTCGATTTCACCATTGAAACAACTAGATCAATGTAGATCTATAGCTTAATCGATGGATCGGCGACAATAGAGTGAAGATCGGAGATGTAGAGTGTAGATCGGTGATGGTTGATGTAGTTGGTGAACAAGGTGGTAGATTCGTGACGGTGGAGTGTAGATCGATGGTGGTTGCGAATGGACGATGAAGGTAGCGAGTGGAAGATGATGGTGGCGATGGTGGTGATGGTTCAACGACGACTATAGTGGTTGTCATGGTGACGTTGATGGCAACAAAGGAGAATGGTGGAGATGGTTGGTGAACAATTGTGGTGGCAGTGGTTGATGATGGTGGCCATAGTGGGTGAACAACCAATGTGACGGTGGTGGTGCGGCGATAAAACTCTTTACAGAAATTGTAGAAAGAGATGAGTCTTCTTTGTGTGAAAGAGAGAGAGAGTCTGCACAAATGATGGAGGAAAAGAGAGAGAACAAAAGATTGTTTAGGGCAACACAAAACACTCAAGGGTAAAAAAGAAAAAATAATGGATGGGCCAGGACTTAATGTGTACATAAGATTCTAAGTTAGAACCTAATGGGTAATAAAATCCTATACAACAAGGGTAAACCCGGGATCGCTATAAATGATGGAGGAAAAGAGAGAGAACAAAAGATTGTTTAGGGCAACACAAAACACTCAAGGGTAAAAAAGAAAAAATAATGGATGGGCCAGGACTTAATGTGTACATAAGATTCTAAGTTAGAACCTAATGGGTAATAAAATCCAAAAACAAGACCGGCTGGTAGATAACCCAATGCATTAGTACCTTATACTATATTATTCAAATAGACCTAATAAACATTGGGACCCATTTTTTATTTATTAAGCGAAATATTTTATTTAACAAAATTAATTGAAAAAATTAAAATTCTTAATTACTCTCTCATACAATACTAAAATTATATGAATTAACTAATAAAATAAAATTAAGAATACTTATAATTTTCCAATCACAAGGGGAATCCGTATTTTAAGAAAATTTTAAAAGATGTATTTGTAATTTACTGATTTTTTTTTAATATTAATTGAGGCCTAGTCTAAAGGCCCGCCTAAAAAAATTCTTGTACCAGCAACGAACAATTTTTTATTTTTTCATATATGTGTTGTTTGGCCAAATTGAATATAGATATTGAACAATTCTTTCCTTTGATCAACAATGTTACAAGAATTATTGAATGGATTAGTTATATTATCTATTGAAAAAGATTTGGTAAATAATTAGATTATGCAAATTTAATTAGTGATTTTGCCACTAAAATGTGATAGTTGAGTCAATTGTAAACTAAATATTGCTAAATTATAAAATAACAACATCAAATTTTTATCTTTTTGACTCTTTGCAATGATTTCTTTTTATCTTAATATATGGAAGTAAATTTTAATTTATAATTTTAACGATTATTTCTGCAAGTAAATTTTTTTTTGTGACTACTAACAAATTAAAAAATTATTAGTACTTATCATTTTATCTATAAAAATTTTACAAAAAAAGTAGGGTAAAATTTAATACCTCTTGAGGTTTGCTTAAAATATAGATTGTCCCTATGGTTTAGAAAATTGCAAATATCCCATTGTCAAAAAAATTTATTTAATAGAATTAATTGAAAAAATGAAATTTCTAACTACTCTCTTATTCAATAATAAAATTACTTGAATTATTAATTGAAATAAAGTTATGACATCATTAGATCTTGTTAATTGGCTTGATGATTTATTAATAAAATGTGCAATTTGTTATGAAATTAGAAACTTCAAGAGACAGCCTGTAATTTTCAAAACCACAAGAGGCAATTTATATTTTAAGCAAACTTAATGGAATGTATTTGTAATTTACCCAAACAAGTATATGTGAGAGGGCCTTATTTCATAGTTTGCCTAAGATCTCATAAATCTCAAGGCTGACCCTACCTCTACCTCCCTAAGCCACCGTGATCTCTCTCTCTCTCTCTCTGTGTATATATGATAAACCTATTTTGTTTTTAGGTGAGCTTTCCCCAGATAAAGTAGAGGAAATTTATAAGTTTGCCTCTAATATGTCATTTCCCGATTTCAAAATATTAATAAAGAAAAAATTAATTAATTTAAGTTTGATATTTTAATAGAAAGCATTCTAGTTAACCTTATTCTTTCTCAATGTTAACAGTATTGAAGAAATAGAAAAGTGTATTCAATAAAATGTATCTTTACAATACAATGAGATGCCTATATATAGGCGAGGTAGAGTGGTCACCAAGAAAACTAACAATAGAAATATCCTAATATGGTAAAACCTAATTACAGTATCTAATATATATAGTGAATATAATATATATATATATATATATACAATATTCACTAACAGTCTCCCTCAAACTTAAGGTGGTTGCAAAGAGACCAACTAGAGTTTGGAAAGAGAAAATAAAATAAAATAAAACTAATAATGCTTGAAGACAATTTATGGTTGTGCATGACCGTTGTAGGAGCAGTCGAAACTAATGCCGGAAAATAGTTTATGGTCGTACCGGACCGTTGTAAGAGCAACTGGAGCTAATGTCAGAAGACAGTTTATGGTTGTACCGGACCATTGTAGGAATTGAGTGTGCCAAGGGCAACTTAAAATAGAATGCACTAGGGGTTGACATAGGTAGTGTGCTAAGGGGCAGCTTAGGTGGTGGTGTGCTAAGGAGGTGACTTGGATGGTGTGCCAAGTGATAGCTTGGATGGTTCGCATAATGTATCACTTTGCTCACAATGATATAAGTATATTATCCCCCCAACCCCCCTCTCAAACTCAAATAGGTTTGAAGCTATTAACTTATTTGAGGTCAAAATAGAGAGAAAGACAGAGTGGAGCGGAAGGGAGAGATCATATTCTAAAAAACAATTATAGAAAAGAATTTTTATTTTAATAGTGGGACAAGCCCATGTGATAGAGTTGAAAAACACATTGTTTTGTTTGAATAGAAAAAGTGTACCCCGAGAGAGAGAGAGAGAGAGAGAGAGAGAGAGAGAGAGAGAGAAAATTTTGGATGGGTTTAATTGGTTTGGGAGAGTGTGTAGGATGGGTTTGATTAAAAAAATGAAAGTGTAGATTAGAGAGAGGGGTAAACCCGAGAGAGGGAGAGAAAAGATCTTGAATGTAGGTTGGTGGTCGAGCAACGGCGAAGGAAGGCGGCGATGGACCGGAATTGCCGGCGTGATGGTCGGAACTGTAGCTAGCGTGATGGAATAGACGTTCGAGGTGAAGGCGATGGTTGGAGCTGTGGTGAGTAATGGTGGCGATGGTCGGAGAAAGAGACAAATGTGTGGCTGTGAGATACTCAGGTTTAAGGACTGAGGGGTTTGGGATGCAAGGAAAACAGATAGGACTGAGATCCGATGAGCGGCCAAGGAAAGGTTGTCGCCCACCGATAAGGAGAAGAACACCAAGAACTTAACCTATAGTTCTAATACCATGTTAACAATATTGAAGAAATAGAAAATTGTATTCAATGATGTCTCTCTTTACAATACAATGAGAGGCCTAAATATAATCAAGTAAGAGTGGTCACCAAGAAAGCTATCAATAAAAATATTCTAATATTGTAAAATTTAATTACAATATCTAATATTTTTTTTTTGATCAGTAAAAAAAGACTTTATTGATGAAGAAGTAAAATTACAAGTATAACTTACATCAATAAAGGACGGAAGTGCACAAAGCATCATAGCTAGAGTCAACAATCCCAATTAGATTGACACTGAAAAGCAAGTACAATCTTATACTAGCACTTGACCTAAGAATTGGAGAGGGACTAATCAAAGGAAAAACAAAACACAAACAAACAACAACAAACATAGATCCCACTAAATCATTTTACTTGCTCACATTTACTTAAATTGTCAAAATTCTGATTTACATTGTAAAACGTGTTTGGAGGCCAATATTTTATTAAAGTCAAAAATATATTCTATTTTTTCTTGTTAACCTTATCTTTCTATGAAATGACAAAATCAATGATTTTCAAGTATAGTGAGCTTGCATTAGAAAACGTGTATAATTTTATAAAAAAATGATATATAAGTTCATTTTTTAGACTTATATTTTAGATCCAATGATATGCTAGTAATATAATTGATTGATAATTAGAGAAGATATGAGAAAGAATGTTACCTTAGATGTCTTAATTGATTGTCACATAATTGAACTTAAAAAGTGGGTCTAATTTTTGAACTTGTACAATAATGCTCTAATTTTATAGTTTTTGAAGAAAATAATTTTAATTTAAAAAATAATGAAATTCACTCAAGATCATGATTAAGTGGTTAGCAACTTCATTATCTAAACCACACTCGACACAAATAGAATCAAAAATTCTGCTATGTTATTTTCTCATTAAATGAATGATATTTAATGGAAATAAAATATGTTGTGTTTATCTATATTTGTAACCGTGTGAATGGACTTTGTAGGTTAAATTAATTACCATTGAGAAATTGGTGATCTCTGGAATGGATAACGTGATAGAGATATGGCCTAGGGAACTTCAACCTAAAGTGGGAGAGATGTTAATTTCGCATTGTCGTAAGCTATTGAATATTCTCAAGGGCATGCAGAGTATTGAACGACTTATAGTGGGGTGCTGTCAATCTGTGGAAGTAGCATTTGATCTTGAAGGAATGATTGTTAGAGAAGGCTATCCAGATATCGTGCTCCCTTCATTAACAGTATTGGACCTACTTTATCTACCAAAGTTGACACATGTTTGGAAGAACAACTTACTAAGAATTCCAAGCGTTCAGAACCTGACCTCCTTAGCAGTAGTGGGTTGTAGCAGTTTGAGATATATATTCTCATCTTCTCAAGCCAAACTTCTTGTGAAACTACGACAAATATTTGTAGCTGAATGTGGTGTGCTGGAAGCGATTGTTAATGAGGAACCAAAAGTAGATGATGAAGTCGCAACAAATATAATCATGTTACCGCAACTAAATAGTCTCGAACTCTATCATCTGCCAAACCTCAAGAGTTTATGTCCCCAAGCTTACACATTTGAAGGATCATTCTTCAAGAAGATAGAAGTAATCAACTGTCCCAACATGAGGGCACTCCCTTCAGCATTGCAGCGCATGCTAGAGCTACAAGAGAGCAGTGTTCGAGAAGTGGAATTTTTTAACTCAGCTCAACATCATCTCTTGGATAGAAAGGTAAGTGAGTTGTCTTAAAATTATAGTATTCAACATTAACAACCCATTCTTTCAAAGAAAATATTTCCAATATCCATTACACTGAGGATAAACCTCTAAATGTTTGAAGAGGAAAGAATTGTTGGGTACAAAAATTCAAGGAGAATAAACTCTTTAGCATTGATGCGGTCAAAGATTTTGTCAAGAAAATTAATCCATTCTTTAAAATAAAATAAAAAAAATAATTAGACATAATTTTTTGGTATTATTACATCCCCATGGATGTCAGAAGGGAAAAAAAAAAGTTCGTGAAAAAGTAATTTATAATTTTGATTGTTAATATTTATGAAGTTTCTCACTAATTTGTAATTATTTTTTCAAAACTCTACTGATATGATATTTTTCCTAATTTTTTTTTCTAGAATGATTTAATGGTGGTATTTTTTGTAATTAAATGTCATTTTAATGGACACATGATTTTAAAAAGATAAATCTTGGTGCATTCACATCATTCTGTATACAAATGTTATATGTTTTTTCCGTTTGTATATCATTATTCTTTTGTCCATTGTTCCCAACTCTCAAATAAATGGTGTTAACACTAAGGGAGTGTTTGGAAGGACTAGATAGGGGCGGATTACAATACAATAAACTATTAGTCCTAAATAATTAGTCCCTTAACTATTTTGTTCGAAATGATGGGTATTTGACTATTAATCTGATCTTCATTTTTTAACCAAACAATGGATTAGTAAATATGTCACTAACACAATTGAAGTGATAACAATTGCATTTAGTTTAAGCACCAAGGGAATGCTTGATGTCACAGGAATAGATGAGCCAACTGAGATATGGCACAATCAACTTGAAGTCGGATGCCTTCACAAAGTAAGATTCATGCGAGTCCAGTGTTGTGGAAAATTATCAAGTGTTGTCTCGTCCAAGTTAATGCAAAGGCTGCACAATATACAATGGCTAAAAGTATGGTGGTGTGATTCACTGGAAATGATATTTGATCTCCAAGAGGGGGTATGTGCTGATGTTGCTGAGAAAGAAATATTAATCACTCAGTTAAGCAAATTGATATTGAAGTATTTGCCCAAGTTGACAAACATATGGAAGAATATTTCCCAACAAACTCATTGTTTCAAAAATCTACGATTTCTAACAGTGCAGCACTGTGACAACCTGAGATATATATTCACAATTTCCATGGCCAACGTTCTTGTGAATCTACTAAATCTAACTGTTGAACATTGCGAGAAGGTAGAAAAGATTGTCACCAGGGAAAACGAAGAAATCTTTTCGCAAAGAATTTACTCTATCAAACTTATAAATCTTCCGAGTCTCGTGTGTTTTGGCCCGGATGTAAATAATACTGAAATTCCAGCAAGAAGAACGTCTGTAAGACTCTGCCCCAAATTTCCAGGTAAAACTCCAATTATATATTTGCAAGTTTTTGACGAACTCAAGAAGGCAACTTCACTACTCAATTTTTTAGCTATACATACACATCTTACAGCTAAGAAAAAATTAGTTATGATAAGGTAGTATTTGATTCACTGAAATAAAATATTGAAACTAAATAATCATTTCTTAACCTTTTTATGAAATGATCATTCTTTTACCATAGTAAATAATAATTCTATTTATAATATATTTTATATTATATTTTTAGTACACCAAATATGAAAATATATACCAACAAGCACGTAGCTTAGCTGGTAAGGGGCTATGCTAGCTTAACCAAGATCTCGGGTTTGAGACTTGGGAACGCAACTGTGTTAAAAACTTGTTGGGAGAGTTTTGCCGCCCTTGTGGTCCTACCCGGCTCGAACCGGATTAGTTGGGGTCCTGTGGACTTCCGGATACTGGCGGTTTAGACCTAAAAAAAAAAAGAAAGTGGCAATAATGTTCCAGACCCCCTTTCCCCCCACCCCCTTTGATCCCCTCTCAACATGATTGGTCAGTTTTTCCTTCTTTTCTTTTTTCCTTCTCCTCTAATCACCACCCGCCACGTGTGTGTGGGGTGGTGGGGGTGGTGATTGGAATTTATTTTTTAATTATTATTTTTATTTTATTTTATTTTTGATAAAGTTAGGAAATTAGAAAGTTAGTAATTAGATTAGGGTTAATTTCACTTTTGACTCTTGTAGTTTAACCCAAGTTTCACTTTGGCTCTTATGATTTCAAATTGAACAGTTTGGTCTCTATACTTTAAATCTAGTTTTAGTTTGGTCCTTCTATTCAAGTTAGAAGTTAAAATTAACAATTTTAGAATATACATACAGAAAAAATTAACAAAAATTTGGATGAGGACCAAAATAAAATTTGAGTCAAATTATAAAAGTGAAATAAAATTAACTTCTAAAAATATTTCCACAAGGTAAATACTAATCTGTCAGTAACTTTTTAATTTTTTATGAAAAGATGTGCTGAAAAATAAAGAGTGATGCGACAATTTATAATGACATTTTGACTTCTTGACTAAAATGTTAGTCTCCAAACGAGACCTAAACCTAACCACACAGCTACCTCACTAACAACCATGGTGTGTGCAGCACAGTAAAACTATAAATTTAGATTTATAATTTTATAGTTTAGATTATTAATTTTATACATGGACCATACACTACACAAATTCAATCTCAACTACACATTTTCATTCTAGGTAAATTCTAAAAGATAATCTTAACAATGGCAATGGATCGAAGTTCCCGTAAGGGTTTTATCACGCAAGACAGAATTGATAATCCGGAAGCAAACAGAGTGTTTATATGTATACTGTTTCTAGTTTTTGGAAGTAAATCATAAGACCTATTGCTCCAACTATTTATAAGTATTTTGATAACCTTTGCCAAGAGTCATCAAGATGTATGGGAATAGATACAATGCTATGAAGCATTGTGTCTCTTTGTGTTTAAATTCAAACACCAAAATACTTCCAGATTATTCTACATCTTACGGGAAGGTTTACTGATCACCAAATGAAGATTATGATATGGTGTGAGAGGTTTCACCATATTATGGTGTGATCACCACTCATATCTTCATCTCCCACTTGATCATATTATAATATTGGTGATAAAACCTAAGTTGGGCATGTTAACCTTGGTACCAAAATTTTTCCTTATGCCAACTTTCATCTATGAAATTACCTCATAGATCGACGTCTGATTGTGACTTAGCCATACGTGTGCACGTTTTTGTCACCAATCTGACCGCACCCGTATGAATGTGTTCTCCCACTGTCAACATATTCCAGATGATTTCAATTCACTATATAACAGATGAACGGCATCGATTTTCAGTGATGGGTTCATAATCCATACCCAATCACCATTGACGACTTTAGCCATACACATTTTTCATGTGTCGACCTGCACTGAAATTATTGTTAAGTACTTCCTTTAAGACCCATTCCTGAAGGTTTTCCTTAACACACTTTATCAATGACTTTTGTTGATCACGCAGACAATATCATCTAGTTAGCACGTTGCATATTATGGACTTTACATCTCATGCTAACTATGATATCCATACATTGTTAGTTCCTCTATCTTGTTACCTGACCAAACACATGTTTCCATGCAAGATAGAGTCGCAAAACATCGGTTATCTAGGCGTCCCCAGAGTCATCCGACTATGCTCTTATATAAGTAGCTAAACCACCTAACTAAGTATTTTTTAATCCCATATTAGCTACATGTTCTCTGAATTTTTCCAGAGACAACCCTTTGGTCATAGGGTCAGCCACCATCTCATCTGAGGGTATATAGTTGACTTTAATTTCAACTCTCTCCACTATGTCCTGAATATAGTGGTAACTAACATCAATATGTTTTCCCTTAGAGCTATTTGCTCCACTTTTTATTAATGAGATGGTAGACTGATTGTCACAAAACATACTGACCAGTCTAACAGGTATACCTAATTGTAAACTGTCAACAAATCGTTTTATCCAGACCGCATTACTAATGGCTGTGTTGCAAGCTATGTATTCAGCTTCCATAGTATACTTTGCAACACAACTCTGTTTCTTACTTAACCAAGAAACAATTGTTCCACCAAACAAGAACACATGACCACTAGTAGATTTTCTATCATCTACATCTCCTACAAAATCCACGTCAGTGTATCCTTTTATGTCTAGATCACACAAACCAAAACATAACTTCAAATTTTTTGTGCCTTTTAATATCTGAATATTCTTTTGATTGCTTGCTAATGTTCCTTACCTGGATTGGATTGAAACCGACTTACCAATCCGACTGCATGACAGATGTCAGGTCTAGTGCTTGTCATGGCATACATTAGGCTGCGTACTACCTGAGCATACGGAACATTTCTCATTTCCTCAACGCCAGACTTAGTTTGAGGACTCATACTTTTACTAAGACTTTGTCCCTTGCAAAACAGGCGTACTTAAAGAATTACAGTTATCCATATTAAATCTTTTGAGCACCTTGTCTAGATATTTCTCTTGATCTAGATATAATAATTTTGAATTTCTATCTCTTGAAATTCTATTTCCTAGAACATAGGTTGCAAGACCCATGTCTTTCATTTCAAATCTAGATGCTAAAAAAGTTTTGGTTTTTATAATCATATCTGGACAATTTCCTGCTAACAATATGTCATCCACGTATAAAGATAATATTGCTAACTTGTCATCATTTTTCCAGATATAAACACAGTGATCTAATGGACTCACAATAGAGCCCATTTCTAAAATGGCTTGGTGGAATTTCAAGTACCATTGTCTTGAAGATTGTTTAAGTCCATATAAAGATTTCTTTAACTTGTAGACTTTATCCTCATTGCCTTGGTTCTGAAAACCATTAGGTTACATCATATAAATTTCCTCTTTTAATTCTCCATTGAGAAAAGCTGTTTTAACATCTAATTGATGCAATTCCAAATCCATCCTGGTGACTACCGCCATTAGAATTCTTATTGAGGCAAATTTTGCAATAGGAGAATATGTATCTACGAAGTCTTTTCCAGGTTGTTGAGTGAAACCCTTGGCTACTAACCTGGCCTTGTATTTCTCCAAACTTCCATCTACTTTGAATTTCTTTCTAAGAACCCATTTGTAACCAATGGCTTTTCTTCCATTTGGGAGATCAGTTAATTCCCAAACATCATGTTTCTTGATCGAGTCAAGTTCTTCATTCATTGCCTCAAGCCATTGTGTAGCATCATTGCTACTCATTGCTTCATTATAACTAGTAGGATCATCTACTAAGTTATTAAGTTCTTCAACTTGAAAAACATAATGATCTTTCAAAACCGTAGATGGACGTCTTGCTCTCTTACTCCCACTTATCTCAGAATTCGAAGCAGGGAAAACAACGTCACGTAATTTGCGTTTGCTCCCACTATTAGATGGTTCGGGGAGAATATGTGGACTGTGTGACAAATAAGGAAGAGAAGAATCCCGAGATACGTCAGAGAGCAATTCAATTTGTTCAATAGGAGTAACCAGATCAGTGGATTCAAGAAAAATAGCATCTCAACTTTCTATCAATCCACGTTCGGGATGGTAAAAACGATAACCACTCCCATTTTCGACATAACCAATAAACTTGCATTCCCAAGTTTTGCTTTCCAATTTATCCCGTAAAGGTTTAGGAATAAGTACATGTGCCTTACATCCCCAAACTTTGAGATTTTGAACATTAGGTTTAGTTCTATGCCAGCATTCGTAAGGAGTTAGAGGTTTGGCTTTTGTTTCAACTTTGTTTAATATGTACGCAGCAGTAGACAAGGCTTCCCTCCAAAAATGAATAGGAAGATCAGCATGAGCCAGCACAGACCTTGTCATGTCCATGAGAGTACGATTTCGTCTTTCTGCGACCCCATTTTGTTGTGGTGTGTATGGCATTGTAAACAAATGTTTTATGCCATTGTCTTTGCAGAAAGAATCCATAGCTTCATATTTTCCACCTCTATCATTATTCAAGTGTTTTATGGACCGACCAAGTTTCTTTTCTACCTCTAATTTATATTCCTTAAACTTTTCAATTGCTTCTGATTTGTGTTTAAGAAGGTAGATATGTCCATATCTTGAATAATCATCAGTGAAAGTAATAAAGTATTCCATGCCTCAATGAGTTTTAGTTCTTAAAGGGCCACAAATATCCGAATGAATTATTTCAAGTAATTCCGATGATTTCCAATGTTTAAAAAATGGCTTGCTAGTCATTTTGCCTTGGATACATGGTTCACATATATCAAAATCATCGGAACATACTTTAGGCAATAAGCCACTTTTAAACATTCGAGACATTTTATTTTTATTAATGTGACCTAACCTTAAATGCCATAAATAAGAACTATTACTAGTAGAAACATGCAAATAATCAGAAATACATACTTTATTATCAATAGGAAGAGAGTACATGTCATTCACTCTTGCACCTTTCACTAATACACTCCCTTTCTTAATCAATACTGTGTTAAACCTAAAATTAACCTCAAAATCTTTTTGAGTCAACACTGGAACTGAAATTAAATTTCGGCGAATGCTGGGTACATAAAGGACATCATGAAGCACAATGGAAGTTCCATTGATAGAGAATTGACAGTTGCCGATGCCCAAAACATCACTATAGGAGTTGTTGCCCATGTAGATTTTGTGTTCACCAACCTTCTTTTCAGTAAACTCCACAAACATGTCTTTATTTTGCACAATATGCCTAGTTGCAGCAGAATCAATCCACCATGAATTTGATGAAGGTTCAAGCACCATTGCTTCAGAAACTGTCATGGCAACAGGGTTATGCTCTTTTTTCTGCTTCTTCTTAGGACAATTGGCTTTGATATGACCTTTTTGACCGCACTTGTAACATGGGCCAATTTGATGCTTGTGATGTTGTTGTTTTTGCCATTCTTGTGGTTTCTTCCATCCTTTCTGAAATCCCTTCTTCTATTTTTTCTTGAAAAAAGTCATCTTTTTCTTGTTGAATGGAGTGTAGGTATTATTCTGTGGTTGTGGTGAAGATTGTGCCATCAACAAATTAGAAGACAATCCTTTTTTGCGCCTGCGCTTCATTCTTTCTTCTTCCAAAACTAAGAGTACAGGCAATGTTACCATTGAAATCTCTCGTCCGCTATGAGTTAGAGATGTGATAACATGATCCCAAGACAATGGAAGACTATTAAGTATGGTTGTTACTTACATCTTGTCCGACAAAGAGTGATCAGCGTTGGATAATTCTTTAGCAATTAATTCCATTTGATTAACATGATCACCAACACTATCATTATCACTCATTCGAGTGTTATTGTATTTGTCCAAGAGCAATTGAATTTGAGTATCCGATCGAACTCCACACTTACTTTCTAGTGCTTTCATTAGTTGTCTGGCAGTTTCATGTTCTTCAAAGAGCGGAATAATGTTATATTTCATATTATGTAACGTAGTTGCCTTTGCCATTGCATCATCTTCTATCCATTTATTTTGGAACCAATTAGAATCATCATCTGGTTTAGAAGTGGATAAAGTACGCATTGTTTTCTCATGTGTAAGAAGATAAGAAATGTGGCGTTTCCATGCTCGGAAATTATTTCCATTAAGCATTTCGATCCTTGAAGAATCCATGGTATTTTTAATAGCCACATGAAAAACAAAATGTGTTACTATGTAAATTCAAATGTGAATGTTACAATACTAAAATAAAAATAAAAATAAGCAAAATTAAAAACAACAACAATAAGGAAAAGCCTTGTAGTTGTTGAATCAGCCCCTGTGATGAAAATAATGTAAAGGAATAGAATGGTACTGTTGCCTTGGGTAAGAAGAATGATGAAAACCCAAAGGCCTAGTAAACCCAATACTTTGCTTATGAGTATTGTAATACTAGCTACGAGCCCAAGGAACACAATGGTGCCTTTTAAACAATGTTTCTTTAGATGTTTTCCTTGGTAACACCCTTGGATAGCCTCCTCCTCGAATTTTGTTTTCATAAAATTTAGTACAACGATCCACGGAAAAATTCTTAGAAGAATTCTGAAAATTTTGGCTTTTGAATGACTGAAAACGACCTTGAAATGAGCGAGAACGAGCCAAAAAACCGTTTGGACCAGGCTGCTGCCGGTCTAAGTACTGTGCTGGACCGGTTTGGACCGACTGAGACCGAACCGGCACGAACCGCTGGTCAATGCGCGGATCAGTGCGCAGGTCAGAACACGGGTCGGGCGAAGCAGATGGACGCAGGTCAGGGCGCGGTGTGCTGGGGCGACGCGCGGATCTAGACGCACGCTGGGCTGCAACGTTGGGCAGCTGGGCTAGTCTGCGCACTAGGCTGGCAGCGTTTCTGGGCCGCTGGGCTGCTGGGTCACGCCTATGGCTATGGGTTGCGCCTGACTGTAGGCTGCGCCTGGACTTTTGGGCTGAAGAAAATTCTTTTTAATTTTGCAGCCCAAAGGAATTGATTTTCTTGCAGTGATTCTTATTTTTGGGCCTTTTCTTTTAATTTTTGAATTCAGCCCAAGGGAATTTAAATTCAACTCAGACGCTGCAACGGCTCCAAAGGTATTATTCCGGTCGTCTTCTTCGGCAACTGGAGTCGGAGACCACAGACTAAAATTCGAATTTTGAGGATCAAATCTTCGCCGTTTTTCACAACGAATTTCACCGTTGTGATCAAAATTCTGAAAAGAACAAGATGGTGCCAATTTAGAGATGCAATCCGAACCGAAAAATATTTTATAAAATTGTTTCCAACAATACAATTCGGACTCACTTTCGGCAAGGTTTGAAACAACGGCACCACCAACAGTTATTTTCTTCGGATAGTTTTCTGGAAATACAATATGTTGGTGATGATTAAATAAACAAATGGAATTAACCAAAGCCGAAGATTGATAATCGATTATACTCTGAATTTTCGGTAAAAACTTTTTAGAAAATTGTTGTTCTTGCGGACTGTAATTCGACATCTGCGATTATGTGTACAAACTTACTCTGATACCACTGAAAGATAATCTTAACAATGGCAATGGATCGAAGTTCCCGTAAGGGTGTTTATCACGCAAGACGGAATTGATAATCCGGAAGCAAACGGAGTGTTTATATATATATATTGTTTCTAGTTTTTGGAAGTAAATCATAAGACCTATTACTCCAACTATTTATAAGTATTTTGATAACCTTTGCCAAGAGTCATCATGATGTATGGGAATAGATACAGTGCTATGAAGCATTGTGTCTCTTTGTGTTTAAATTCAAACACCAAAATACTTCCAGATTATTCTACATCTTGCGGGAAGGTTTATTGATCACCAAATGAAGATTATGATATGGTGTGAGAGGTTTCACCATATTATGGTGTGATCATCACTCATATCTTCAAATTCGGCATAGATAAGTGGGGTTCATATAATTATTGGTGTCCAACAACAAGGGAAATCCCTTCCTGGAAGTGGTGCGAGTATTTTTTAAATATATTTTTATAATAATATTATGTAATTTTTTAATAAAATTACAATAGTTTGTGATTCAAAAATAAAATTAGGCATTTTTGTAATGTTTGACATTATTTTTTAATAATAAACTCTCGTAATTCAATCAGAAAATTACGTAATAATTGTCACAAATTATCATAATATATACACACACAAAAATAAGTAAAACAATGCATATGATACACACCCTATCCCATGCTTGAGATACAAATGATGTTAGCAGCAATGAACCTTGTATTTAATAATTAATAGTATATATGTATTCTTAAGATGGGTCATACAATACACACCTATTTTTAGAGTGTGTAGTATATGACAGTTATGATAATTGTGGTACTAATATTACAAATATCATAATTAAATCACTTTTAGTCATAATTAAAATAAAAATAAAAAAAACAATGGGTCATAACCAAAATCCACTTGAGACATAACTAAAGACCTCGTTGGTCATAATTAAAATAGTATCCACAATATGCCCTAATCAACACCACAATAAACCAAATATCATTTGAGGTATAACTAAAAAAATTTCGATTATAGCCAAAATAACAATTATAATAAGTTATAACTAAATCATAAACAACACTATAATGAATTATACCTAAATCATAATAAGCATCACTATTGATTATAACTAAGAACCACACATTCATAATTAAACATTTTGTTTTGAGCAAACTTCACTTTACTCCCTGTGATTTGAGTACTGTGCGGTTTATCTCTTAACATTTGGAAATAACCACATAACCCCAACATAGTTTGTCGACTAAAGTCTACCGTTAAACTTTTTATCCAACTTAACAGCAAGTGTAAAACGTGTGGCAGACATAATAGTTATATGCTTATTTTCATATTTCAAGGTGGAAAATCGCACATGGAATAAAACACAAGGGATTAAAGTGCACTTACCTTTCAAACAAATGAAGAAAATACAAGGGTATTTTAGTCTTTTTATTAAATCATTAACGGGGTGGGTAACACTATTATACAAATAACATTTTACTTGACTATTGCCCCATCAGAGCCAAAGTTCTAGCTCCAGCCCTGCTTCAGATATGCTTCATGCCATCGCCAAATGTATACAGTGGGGGTGTTTGGTGTGGATTATAGGGGTGATTCTAGCTTATTTTAATTTGAGAATCTGTACCAGACTGTTTAGTAAAGCTTCTGCTTACAGTTTTTTAGGCAAAAATAGCTTAAATAAGCTGAGAAAAGCTGATAATTTGAAAACTGGAGAGGGGGCGCTTTTGATTTCTACTTTATGATTATCAACTTTTAGCTTACAATAAGTTGCACCAAACACCCCCAGTATAGAAGATGTGGCTAGGTTCATTATTTTACAAACAAATTGATTTTTACTTCAACAACATTGCCAAATATTAACATTAGTTTCTCTTTAATTACTACATAGGCAACGAGGATGAAGTTGACTTTGACTTTGATGGCATTGAGATTGACTTGGACTTTGAGGACGATGACAACAATGAGGATGAAGTTGACTTTGACGACGATGACAACAATGAGGATGAAGTTGACTTTGACTTTGATGGCATTGAGATTGACTTGGACTTTGACGACGATGACAATTAGCAACGTTGTCAGGTATTAACAATTGCAGATTATCAACTCTTTAGAGGAAAGGTTTTTGCATGCATATCCTATTGATACACACACAAAATTGTCATTGCACACAATTTTAGTTCTTCGTGTTTTTACCAATTAACTTTATTTTTGAGGAATACTAAGTACATAAATTTTATTACTATATGCACTTTTAGCTACGATTTATGTGTCATTTGTTATGAACTATAGTGTTATTAGTTATGACATATTGTGATATTGTTTATGACATTATCTTACTTATGATCAAAAAGTTGTTTGGTTATACTTCATGTGATGTTTGGTTATAACTCAAAATTTTTTTTTTTCAGTTATGATTCCCGTGGTATTAAGTTATGCCATTTATGATAATCAAACTCACAAATGACATAACTTGCTTATAGTATTTCCCTGCATCAATTAATGTTCTTTTTTCTATTTCAATATGTTCAGCTTTAAACATATCGCAAAGGATTATCCAGTTCAACATATGCTAAATGCAATCGTTCTTTTCACGAAAGAGGATGTAACTAGATTTTGATTTGTTTTCTTTTTTCTTTTTTTTTTTCGTTGTTTCCGTACTCAATAACTAGCAAGTTGTAGGTTGGGAGGTGCGATTGAAGTCAAAATGTATACCACTAAGGCCTATAATTGAGATTTCTTATCCATTTTCTTGATGTAACTTTGTAAATTTTACTAGTGTTTGATGTGAATCTAGTTTGATGCATTTGAAGTACAAAATGAGCCAAAAGTGATATTTTAGTTGAAAAGCATGCACCGCACATGCAGAGGGTCATTCCTACGCGTGTGGACCCCTTCCTGAAGATCAAAACGAATTGCATAATCTGCACTTGCAAAGGGTTTTTTTCGCACGTACGGGGCCTTTCCCGTACGTACGGCCTTTTCCGCACATGTGGCCAACATTTCCCGCACGTGTGGCCACGTCGATTTCGTGCACGTTTTTTCTAAAGTCACATGTTTTGCTGGAAAAGTATAAGATGAGCAAAAAAAGATTGTTCTAGGGTTCGAAAATTCTCCAAAAAAAATAGGCAAAGGAGGCTAGGCTTTTGGAGTTTTGGAGTTGAAGGATTGGAGGTCTTCAATGGCAGCTTCTTCATCATCTTGTTACTCCTCTATGAGCAGTTAGGCTTCTCTTTCTAAGGTTTTTATGAAACCCTAGCCATGTAAATAGAGTTTTAACTAGGCTTTGATTTTTTAAATGGTTTGAGCAAGTTGTATGAATGTTTTAGAAGTTTTAATTTCAATTTCCTTTCAGTATTCTACTTTCTGTGATTGTTGAATGCTTTTCATACAATGGTTTTCTATGTGTTGTACTCAAAGTATGAGGCGAGTCATGCTACAAGAAACGAGTCGTGTTACTACCATAGTTTAGAGTGAATGATTCGTACTACTTGAGATGATTCATGCCTATACGTTGAACGCAGCAATAACTTTGATCAGTGTTTCAAACTTGTAGTTGTGAAACATTGGCTAGTTCAAACCGCATTGCAATTAGATGCCGATGTTAAACCCTATTTACGCAACTAGTGGTGGATTCTTTGTCCTAGGATTTTTCCCAAATCGAATTCTCAACCTTAATCTTTAGTGTTAATTTAATTTTCTAGTTATTTTAATTTTCGCTTTAATTTAATTATCATCAATCATTCTGGTCCTAATTAATTGAATTTCACATTAGTCCTTATGGATCGATACCTAGCCATTATTCTACAAAATTTAGATACACTTTGGACTTTATTTTTGGTGTGCTTAACGACCCACCAGTTACCATTATCACCTCTCTACAACTAACCACCCTATAACCACCATTGTCACTACCATTACCATAGCCACCACCCCAACAACCACTATCACAACCAATGCCACCACTACCACAACTATGAGTATCATCATTTTTAGAGTCCTAACCAAATATAGGACAATGTTTTCTACTGAACGCATTTTTCAAAACACCTCTCATAGATTTTTGTGTCCCCTTCAAAATAGACAGAGCATAGTACATAGTTTGTATATAGGCTTCTTTTTAATGAAATAAATAAATTTATGCGAAAATAAAAGTACAAACAAATAGATGGAATATATGTGTTGGAAAATGACTTTGAAAAAACCTTACTTTTTGCTAACTTTGAGCATTAATTAAGGTAGGACCCAAGCGTTATTTTTAACGTTACTAATTGGCTTCATGTTTAATGTCACGTAGTGAATAACATCGTGTATTTGGTTTCTCAAAACCATTTCCAGATGAATGAGAATTCAACGCGCATTTTCTGGTTCGTGAAAATGGCTTTAGGTAGGTTTCCTACACATTTGTGAAAAGTGTTTGTCCCACATTGGAAAGGCTTAAGGATTTAAATGGGTATATAAACTCTAGCTTAGGATACTTGGGATGGGCCCCAAGGGGTACCCAAGTTTATGGAAAGGTGAGGTTATGGGTAAAGTGGGCTAGACTCATTGGACCCAAAACAAAAACACGCGCGCGCCGCCGTTCGTCCGGGCGGGCTGGGCTTAGGCGCGGGTGCGTAGTGTGAGGTTGGGTTGGGCTTTTCCGACCCAATGCTTATCTTTTTGGGCCAAAAACATTTGTATTTTATTTATTTAATTTTGAATTTCGGTTTCAAAATTCAAAATAAATCTATCCAAATTTGTTCCTCTACCTTAACAGGTTCATACCTGTTAGAATCCACTCGAATAGGTTCATACCTGTTGAAATTCCACCCAAACAGATCTGGTTATATTCAAATCTGTCCAAACAGGTTTTCTACCTACTGAATCTATCCGAGCAAGTTTTCTATCTATTGACACCTGTTTAGAAAAGCCTCATGTTCTCCTATATATATCCTATCATTCCAGCAATTCTATCATCGAAATTTTCCAAACATTTCTCCATTTTATTCTTCCGTTTGTCCTTCTGTGCTTCTGCATCTATCTACCATTTAGTTTCTAAGAAAAGAAAGAGAGAATTGCAGCATTGTTTGGTTCGCCAGACTTGAGTTTGTAGTGTTGCAAATCAAGTGTTAGTCGTTGCATCCTGGGAAGTAGACGCCGATAAATCTCAAAGCACCAGAGTGAGTGCGAAATCTACTTTACGGAGATTGTGTCCAACACAAGCCTCGACTTATAATTTTTGTAAGCAATTGATTCGGAATTTAATTTATATAATTATTTTCTAGATTAATTATCTTTGTTTTGCTGTTTATTTTTTTAATACATTTATTTACACATACACACAACCACTGGGGGTAATAATCTTATAGTAAATTTTTGTTTTTTTGTTATTTGTATGTTAGACAGACGAATATTTTGTTTTGAGAAATTAAATAGTAGTCGTATACTGTTTAATTTCTTAAAAGTAGTAATATACTATTTAATGACTTTTTTGATAATATAGTAGTCATATACTCTTTATCATTGAAGTTTTGTTACAAAATATTATTCTGTATATTTTGTGTGTAAGTTAAAGTCTATATAAATTTGTGATCGGTACATTGTTATTTCGTCAGAAATATGACTACTGAAACAAACAGTACTGAGACTGTTCGTACTCCGACCCCCACACCCGTTGTGCTAGTGATGACTCCGGCAGTATCGGTAAATCATGGGAAAAAGCCAGAAAAATTCAATGGAAATAATTTTAAAATATGACAACAAAAGATGATATTTTATCTTACAACATTGAATTTGGTTCGCTTCACTCATGAAAAAGTTCCGGCACTGAACGAGGGAGAAATTGACCGGCAAGTGGTTGCCGCAGTCGATGCATGGAAACATGGTGATTTTCTATGTCGCAAATATATCCTCAATGGGTTGGACAATACACTGTACAATGTGTATAGTGTCAAAAGCACTGCAAAAGAACTGTGGGAATCTCTAGATCATAAATATAAGACAGAGGATGTCGGTACAAAGAAATTTATTGTCAGCCGTTTTTTGGATTTTAAAATGATGGATTTCAAGACGGTTATTGGCTAGGTTCAAGATCTCCAATTAATTCTCCATGACATACTTACGGGAAGGATGGTTCTCAGTGAATCTTTCCAAGTAACGACAATCATTGAAAAATTGCCACCAACCTGGAAAGAATTCAAGAATTATCTGAAGCATAAGCGCAAGGAAATAAAATTGGAAGAACTGATAATGTGGCTCAGAATTGAGGAGGACAACCGTGGTTCCGACAAGAAGTCAGTAAACCATATCATGCAGGCTAAAGAAAATGTTATGGAACATTAACAAGGGTCAAAGTTCAACAACAAGAAGCGGAAACATGATGGCAATGGTCCCAAACAAGGATCCGCTAGTAAGATCAACAAAGGAGTCAACAATGGGTTCAACAAGAGGTTCAAAGGCAAGTGTTTTGTGTGCGGCAAAGATGGACATTGTGCTAAGGATTGTCACGTTCGCAAGGACGGAGGGAGTTCAAGCAAAAAGCCAGCACAAGCCAACATAGCCGATGATTTTTATCTTTCCGATGCAGTGGCAGACATCAATCTTGTTGCAATAGTCTCTGAGCCAAATTTGGTGGGCAATCCCATTGAGTGGTGGGTGGATACTGGACCCACTCACCATATCTGTGTCAATGAAAAGATGTTCACAACCTACAAAGTGGTAGAAAGTGGGGGACAATTTTTTATGAAAAACTCCTCCACATCAACTGTGGAAGGATAAGGAAAGATTGTGCTGAAAATGGCCTCAAGGAAAGAACTCACTCTTAACAATGTACTTCATGTGCCGGAGATTCGCGAGAATTTGATTTTTGGGTCGTTGTTGATCAAAAATGGGTTTAGACTAGTCTTTGAATCTAACAAGATTGTACTCTCCAAGAGTGCAATGTATGTGGGGCGAGGTTACATGAGTGATGGGCTTTTTAAGCTCAATGTATTAACTGTTATACCAAATTTGGCTATTAATAATAAGAACACATCTTTTGTTTATATTGTTGAGTCTTCTTTTTTATGGCATGGTAGATTATGACATATAAATTTTAATTCTTTGCATAGACTTGTTTCTTTAGAATGTTTGCCAAGCATAGAGTTTGATCCTAATCTTAAATGTGAGATTTGTGTTGAGGCAAAACTCACTAAGGCATCATTTAATAAAGTAGAAAGAAGTATTGAACCTCTAAGTTTAATTCACACAAATATCTGTGATTTAAAATTTGTTCAAACTACAGGAGGTAAAAAGTACTTTATTACTTTTATTGATGATTACACCTGATATTGTTTTGTTTACTTATTGAGAAGTAAAGATGAAGCCTTAGAAGCTTTTATAAGCTTGAGGTTGAAAATCAACTTGGCAAAACTATTAAGAAAGTGAGTGACAGGGGTGGTGAGTATGATGCACCATTTGAGAAATTTTGTTCTGAACATGGTATTATTCACCAAACCACTGCCCCTATTCTTCTCAATCAAATGAAGTAGCTGAGAGAAAGAATCAAACTCTTAAGGAGATGATGAGTTCCATGTTGATTAGTTTAGAGTTACCTCAGAACTTATGGAGGGAGGCAATTTTGTTTGCTAACTTTATCCTTAACAAGGTATCCCACAAGAAAATCAATCACACACCTTATGAAGTATGGAAAGGTCGACGACCTACCTACAATTACCTCAAAGTGTGGGGGTGTTTGACCAAAGTGGCAGTCCCTAGTCCTAAAACAACTAAGATAGGACCAAAAACCATGGATTGTGTGTTCATTGGTTATGCAAATAATAGTAGTGCATACAGATTTTTAGTTCATAGATATGAAAATCTTGATATGCATGTAAACACTATTATTGAGTCAAGGAATGCGTCATTTTTCGAACATATTTTTCCTTGCAAGGAAACTGAAGAGACAAGTTCAAATAAAAGAACTTTTGATACTGCTATGGGTGGCGGTGAAAACCAAAATGATAAAGAAGCAGATGAACCTAGACGTAGCAAGAGGGCTAGGATCTCTAAATCATTTTGTCCAAATTTTCTGATATACCTGTTAGAAAATGAGCCTCAAAACTTCAAGAAAGCAATGTCAAGTCCTGAAGCTCCATTGTGGAAAGAGGCTATGAATAGTGAAATAGAATCAATTTTGCAAAATCATACTTGGGAACTGGCGGATCTTCCACCGAGGTGTAAACCTCTTGGATATAAGTGGATATTTAAGAGAAAAATAAAAGCAGATAGTTCAATTGATAAATATAAGGCTAGTCTTGTTGTTAAGGGATACAGGTAGAAGGAAGGCCTTAATTATTTTGACATCTATTCGCCAGTGACAAGAATAACATCTATTCGCATGCTAATTGCTATTGCAGCTTTGTATAATCTAGAGATACATCAAGTGGAAGTTAAAACAACCTTTTTGAATGGAAAGTTAGATGAGGAAATCTATATGGAACAACCGAAAGGGTTTCAAGTTTCCGACCAAAAGAAAAAAGTTTGTAAACTTGTCAAATCCCTTTCTGGATTAAAAAAAGCTCTAAAACAATGGCATGAAAAATTTCATCACGTTATGCTTTCGGATGGTTTTAAGATAAACGAATTTGACAAATGTGTCTATGTTAAATACATAGACAAAGGCTATGTCATAGTCAGTCTTTATGTGGATAACATGCTCATTATTGGAAACAATAATGACATAATTAAATCCACTGAACATAAAGTTTAACATGAAAGATTTGGGAGTGGCAAATGTAATTCTAGGAATAAAAATTAGTAAAACATCTAAAGAATATGCTTTATCTCAGTCTCATTATATTGGGAAGATTCTAGAGAAATTTGGAAAGCATAACGACCGTCTTGCTAAAACACCTGTTAACATTAGTCTTCATTTATCAAAAAATATAAGTGCAGGCATATCCCAATTAGAGTACTCTCGGATAATTAGAAGCTTGATATATTTAATGAATTGCACTAGGCAAAATATGGCCTATGCTGTAAGCAAATTGAGTAGGTACATAAGGAATCCAGGCTCCAATCACTGGAAATCGATAATTAGGGTATTACTTAAAAGTCGCCATAATAGCAACCCAACCTAGTTGACTGGAGATCCTGAGATCTAGGTTCAAAGGGACAACCGAATTTTGGATGACTTCACGTATCATTAAAGAGGTTTACTTTTACCCATGTCTATGATAAAAAGAGTGATATCTGCAGTGTTAGTAGGATAAGCTTTGCTTTTAATGATTCTTATAGCTTGGACATCCAAGTGCAATATAGCAAGATACTCTTAATAAGAAGTCACTTATATGAGTGTGAACTGGGCCAGTTCTGTGAGAATTGAGAAGGCTAAATTCTCTAGAGCACTCATGAATTACCAGGTGTTGTTCAGGGCCAAAATGAACACAATCGTAAGAACCAAACTGTGTCTGCAGATACGGTGTAGTCTATTGTCTTGGCTTACACAAACAGCTGAACAATTCAAAGCATCGTATCCACTAATTAGCCAGTAAGTCCAATAGGCTTTCACTAGAGGAGGTTCAAAGCCGAAAGCTGCTTATCTCAATGTGGTGTATCTTCTTAATGTACTCTTTCTTTGTCTGCATCTTGTTGCATGTCCGTTATCGTAAATTCCATTCATGTGGGGGATTCTTGGGAAATTGTTTTGAAAAAAACCTTATTTTTTGCTAACTTTGAATATTAATTAAGGTAGAACCCAAGCGTTATTTTTAACGTTACTAATTGGGTTTATGCTTAATGTCATGTAGTGAATAACATCGTATATTTGGTTACTCAAAACCATTTCTGGATGAATGAAAATTCAACGTGCATTTTCAGATTCGTGGAAATGGCTTTAGGTGGGTTTCCTACACATTTGTGAAATGTGCTTGTCCCACATTAGAAAGGCCTAAGGATTTAAATGGGTATATAAACTCTAGTTTGGGATACTTGGGATGGGCCCTAAAGGGTACCCAAGTTTGTGGAAGAGTGAGGTTATGTAACGCCCTCATAATTAATCCATTATATATCATTGACATGCATTATTTAAAGAAGACAATTTATTAATTCATTCATCAGAGTATTACTAAATAAAGCATTACATGTAACATCGAATAAAATGCCCTACAGGCTTACATCTTTCCAAGCCAACACTTGGATACAAAAATATGAGTTCTAACTCAATACAAAAAAAAACCCTAGGCTTGAATGTTTACATTTACTAATAAATAAAGACAATTAACTAACTGAAACAAACTTGTCCAACACATCCTATAATTCCAAATGAGAAAATAAAGGACAACAACAACAATTATACAATGACAGAATCTACGGAACCTAAGTCCGGATACAATAATCAAATGGGAAAAGACCGGGGTCGCTATAGGTTATGGGTAAAGTGGGCTAGACCCATTGGACCCAAAACAAAAACACGCGCGCGCCACCGCCGTCCATCCGGTCGGTCGGGCCGGGCTTGGGCTTGGGTACGTGGTATGAGGTTGGGTTGGGTTGGGCTTGTCCGACCCAATACTTGTCTTTTGGGCCAAAAACAAATTGTATTTTATTTATTTAATTTTGAATTTCAGTTTCAAAATTCAAAATAAATCTGTCCAAATTTTTTCCTCCACCTTAACAGATTCATACCTGTTAGAATCCACCCGAAGAGGTTCATACCTCTTGAAATTAAACCCGAACAGATCTATTTCTATTCAAATCCGTCCAAACAAGTTTTCTACCTATTGAATTTGTCCGAACAGGTTTTCTATCTGTTGACACCTGTTCAGAAAAGCTACATATTCTCCTATATATATCCTGTCATTCCAGCAATTCTATCATCGAAATTTTCCAAACATTTCTTCTGTTTCTTCTTCTGTTCGTCTTTCTATGCTCTTGCATCAGTCTACCATTTAGTTTCTAAGATAAAAAAGAGAGAGTTATGGCATTGTTTGGTTCGTCAGACTTGTGTTTGTAGTGCTGCAAATCAAATATTAGTTGTTACATCTTGGGAAGTAGACATCGATAAATCTTGAAGCACTAGAGTGAGGGCGAAATCTACTTTAAGGAGATTGTGTCCAACACAAGCCTCGACTTATAATTTCTGTAAGTAATTGATTCGGAATTTAATTTATATAATTATTTTCTGGATTAATTATTTTTGTTTTGTTGTTTATTTTTTTTATACATTTATTTACACATACACAACCACTGGGATAACAATATGTTTGTACATTGTTCCTGTTTTAGAATTTTTATCCCTTCCGATTTTCCTAATAATTTTCTTCTTCTTTTGAGGTTGACCTAATAACTATTTAGCTCTGCTTTTGTTGGGCATCTCTAGATTTGATAACTAAACCAACTATGAAACGGCATATGTTGTTGAGGCATCCATGTTGTCTGTTCAAAAGAAAAAAAAGTAAAGAAAAAAGAAACATATATATATATATATATATATGAGAACATGTGTTTGTTTTTTTTTAGTATCTTTCTTCTCTTTGGTATCTCTATAAACTATGAATAAAGATTGGGACCCCCTTTCCCCCACCCCCTTTTGACCCCCTTTCTTTTTTAATTGGTCACTTTTTCTTTTTCTTTTTCTTTTTTTTCTCCTCCTCCAATCACCACCCGCCACGTGTGTGTGGGGGTTGAAATTTGAGGGGGTCTAAATCACTGCTGATAAACTATTTAGATTTGGCTTTTTTTTTTTCCTCTCAGGTGATTTTCGCGGCATGATTTTCTCAAATTCTATGAAGATCAAGAAGTTGGAGAAACAAGCCAAGGTTACAGGGTGGTCTCATATATGTGTGGAAACTATCTAGTTGTTAAGATTACATTTATGGGACTATTGTCTAAATTTGAATAAGCTATTAGCTCTTACTATTTGCTCTTTGTAGTGTGTGTTCTTGTTTGTTGGGTTGATGATGCTACTAGCAAAACCTTGTGTTTTGTGGGTACAACTGGACTTACTTTATTATTAGCCATGTAATAATTTATGGGTGAATTTGAAATTTGTGTTTTGTGTGCAATTGCACCAATGTCATGAGTGATTGTCAATATTATTGAATAAATTATACAGGAGACTCAAAGAAGTTTTTAATCTTAATGTGGGTTGATTGATTGAAAAATGGGCAGTACCATGTATAAACTTCCAGGTTGATATTACTTGGATAAATTACAGTTAGGCCTTACAATTTAACATCTTTTTCAGTTAAGTTCTTCAAGTTTCGATTTTGTCAATTAAGTCATTAAAGTAATAAATTTGAATTAATTTAGTCTTGAAGACAATACAAAATAAAATATAAATTTTATAGTAAAATTTTACTCTGATTCACTATAAATTTTATTGTTGACATTAATTTCAACGGTAAAAATTTTATTACTTTTTTTAAAGAATTTCATGGATCTTATTTGATAAATTTTAATAAGAGAATCTTAAAAATATTAATTTTATTAAAAAACGATGTCTAAATCAAAAGTTATACCAATTTAAAATTTATTTATTTTTTAGATAGGAATTTAAATTTTAAATTATTAAATCACTCAACGGACTTTCCAAGAAAAAATTTCGTGTTTGTACTTAATATATGAAAGTTTTATTATGAAGGGATTTTGACCAAATTTTCCTTTAAATAATTATTGTTTGTAAAATTATGACATTATTTTATGTTTTGAGCGGATTGTGGTTATATTGTACATAATGACAAAGTATATAAAAACCGTTGTTCCAAACCGAAGCAAATTACATTTTCTAAGCTTGATTTGATTTAGTTCCAAAATTTTCATAATTCAGTTTGATTCAAAATTTCATAAAACTGTAAATAGTGATTTAGTCTTGATTCACTTAAAAACTGAACCATGCTCAACCTTATACCTATCCATTTTGAGTAATACTACGAATTCATAATTTTTATCCCGAATTTTATCCAGAAACATCAATTTATGAGTTAGATTCATTTATATGTAAACTCTACACTATATCAATTTAATATTTACCATACAAACACAATATCAAAAAAAATCTAAGCTGATAAGTCTTGGACATAACATTAATGATCCATTTTCACCAATAGTTCTTAGTAATTGCCCAGTCTAGAAGATTTCCTTCGCAAGTGAGAAACCCATTTGACATCTCGTATACAATGGTAGTGTTTGGTGGAGCTTTTTTAAGCCAACTTATGGCTTCTGACTTTTAAAAAGTTATTTTGAATTGTTTGGTTAAACTTATTTCAAACAGCTTCTGATTCTAACAACTTATTTTAAGTCAAAAAAACTGATTCTAAGAAGTTGCTCATCCCTTGCTTCTGATTATCAGCTTCTGCTGTGGACATGTTAATTCACGATTATACTCTTAGATTTTTTTTATTTTTTATTTTTTTAAAAATAGAAAAAGACCTAAATGGACTATAGAATATTATTATTTTTTTTAATGAGAAATGTAGATAAATAGTGAATAATAAAAAATAAAAGTTAATTGAAAAAACTACTTCACAGCTTATTTAACAAACAATACTCAGCAACTTAAATCTATAATTCAACAGTTACACCAAACAGATTAACAGCTTCTGATTAAAGTCATGATCTATAATCTGTTAAGTTATAATCTATAATCTATTTTAACAGCTACACCAAACAGGACCAATAGGTTACACAATTACATCTCAAAACTGGGACAGGGTTTAGCAGAAACCAGATTTAAACTATAAATTAATGCATTGCCATAAAAAATTTAAAAAGGGACAATTACAAAAAAAAAAAAATCACAAAGTTTGACCCTTATATCAAAATAAACCATAAACTTTTAATTTTGTCAATTTAAACCCTAAATTTTTAATTTATTTTCAATCTAAACCATTTGTCTATTTTTATTAAGTAAAAATAACTATAAAATGATATTTTAGTCATTAAACTCAGTAAAAATAATATTTTAGACATTTTATGTATACTTACACCATCTCCAACCTAACAAAAAATGTTTCATCAAATATAAAATTTGATGAAAAAACCCACATTTTGCTCTTCCAACCTAGCACCAAATGTTTAATCAAATCTAGGATTTCTCAAATCTTTTATCAAATTGAGCATCAAATCGCTATTCATAGCTGTTGGAACTACAGGTCATTTTCACCACCAGACAACTGGCTAGTATAATTTTTTTACAAATTTTTGTAAGGAGGTGGTCCATCTGGGGGGCCAATCGACAGGACATCCAGCTGGTCGTCTACCCGATCGATTGGTGTTTTGATGAAAGTCCGTTGGAGCACGTAATATCATATAGAATTTTTACTCAAATTTGGTAAAAATAAATATGCAACGTTGGAGATGCTCTTATATTGAGTTTAATAACTAAAATATTTTTTTTCCATTGATTGTACTTAATAAAATAAATGAATGGTTTAGATTGAAAACAAATCAAAATATTAATATTTAAATTGATAAAATTGAAAACTCATAATTTATTTTGTTAAAAGACTCAAATCTTGAAATATCTTTTGTAATTGTCCTCCCCCCCAAAAAAAAAAAAAACAATATACATTAAAGGTTTTTTTTTTTTTTTTGTAAAACAATAGATAGCTAAATTACTATAATCTGTTGGTTTACAAATCTAAACGCAAAAGCTAAAAACAATCCCTACTCGACTTCAAGTTTTTTTTATTTTTTTTATTTTAGCTTTTTAAAATATTTTTTACCTCACAATGTATTAGCAAAATTGCACCAAACACTAACAAACTCTGAAAAACATATCCTAACTTGCACCAAACAGCACCTAACAAACTGACCTTGTCAAACCAACCTCAAAAACAATTTCATCATTACTAGTAAAACGGTTGTGTGTTGTCAATACAAAGACCCTGCTAGCTACCAAGATTTCGAGCCCCCAAAGAATATCCATATCTTTTTCAGACTCCCAAATAAAATCTCCCTTAGGATTCAACGTACATATCTACAGAACATGACATGGAAGCATCGGTATGAATGTTACCAAACGGCACCTAGTAAAACGGTTGTGTGTTTTGTCAATACAAAGACTCTGCTAGCTGACAAGATTTCAAGCCCCCAAAGAATATCCATATCTTTTCCAGACTCCCAAACAAAACCTCCCTTAGGATTCAACGTACATATCTACAGAACATGACATGGAAGCATCGGTATGAATAATCTCACAACACATTTCTTGTCTAAGTGAGCCGAATTGAGTCAAATTGAATCGAGATATATTTTGAAATATTCGAGCTCTGCTTGCTAAAAATTTGATAACTCAAGCTCAAGATGAGCTCAACAAACTTATAAAATCCGAGCTCGAAATTGAAATCAATTCAAGTCAACTTGATTATATAAAAGAGCCAAACTCAAGTTCGAAAATAATTTTTTATTTTTATTTTTTTTTTAAATAAAAGAACACTAAACTATAATGCACATTAAGAGAAAAAAGAAAACATTATGAGCACTCAAAAAAAAAACATATTATTAATAAATTTTATCAATTAAATATTTAAATTTGTACAAACACCAAACATAAATAGACAAATAAAATATATTTGATATATCATTAAAAATAAATATTAATTTATGTAACTATATTCACAAGCTTAATCGAGTTTGAGTCTACTCAATCTCGACGCATAACTAAACAAGTCTAAAAATTTGATTTGAAATTATTTATTTAACAAATGAGTCAAACTCAAATTAACTTTAAACAAGCTGACTTATATTGTTTATTAACGGCACAGTTCTTTTAACCCTACACATAATGACCTCACACGGTTCATTTCATTTGCAGGCAAAATCAACCTTGGGTAGCAAAAGATTTTGTAGTTTTCAAAAGCGTTGTTTTTCTCCAGTTTAACTTCATAGCAAGTTTTTCACAGGGTTCTTCCTTTTGGAATTTTATACGGACAAAGCTAAGTCATGACATGGCACGAATGGAGCCAGAGGGCAGCATCTGTACGGCAACCTTGTACAAACAAAAAACATAATAATTTATATATTGAATTTTTTATACGTATAAAATAATATTCATCCATTGAAAAACAGAAAAATGACACCTACGAGATTCTGTATAAGTTTTTTTTTTTATTATATAAATATAAAGAAAATATTTATGTTTAATGTTTTCCTTATTTATGTAATCAAACTGGAGGTTAATCCGGGTCTCGACTCCTCACTTTTAATTAGCTTTAATTTTCTATTCATTATATTTTATTCTGTATGAATACGGAAAAAATACATATATAACAAATAACAATAATAATAATTATAAAGTGATTTATTCCTATCTTGCTATGTTAGCATTAAAAGGATCAAACCCTCTCCTTATGCCCTGAAAATATTATTTTGATGAATCCAATAATTGAATTTAAAGCAAATTATTTTGAAGCTTTCGATTTTGAAATATTTTACAAATAAAAGATATTGCCGAGACTAATTGAAGCCATCTGCTTTTTTATATCTATCATTTCGCATCAAATCAATACCAACAGAAACTCTTTTCTTTTTTATTTTTTGGTCAATAGGAAGGAGATAAATAACAAGAAAAGTACAAATAAAGTCTTAACATGTAGCCAAAATCATACAACAAGCTCATCAAACCAAACAAATACCAGAAAACTGCAAACAAATATAATGAAAAAATGACCCACAAAATGTGAGAAGAGTCAAACCTCGAACATCCTAGCGAGGTATAGAGACTCTTGACCAACAGGCTAGCCATGTTGGTTTGGAAACTTCCTCCTCAATGCCTGTTTTTTCATGGATGTTTGACCAAATAATGCAAAAAATAACTCCTAGTTCTCTCAGGAAGATGTTTGATCAACTAGTTCATACATGTAACATATAAGAATAAATCAAGGCTAGCCATCAAATTTCTGATAACACTCTGAAAAACAAACATGGTACTTCGATCCAACTGAAAAATATTTCCCACAAAACAAATCATGGCTAAATAAATGTCACAAAGAGCCTGGTTCATTATATTGGTCACAATTCAAGCCATTCAATTTTATATTTATGGAAGCATAATGCAACCTAACCACGTTATCACATTTCACACATTACTTCCATGCTGCGCCAACTCAAAATCAGTCATAGA